CCCAGTCGCAAGATCCGTGTCCTGCGCCAGCAGCCGGGAGAGCCGCTCCTGCAGGTCTGGGAGCCAACGTGGGAGAAACGGGTGGGAAAAGGGGAGGCCGCTCTGCCGCAGAGCCCGCAGTGGCACAGCAGGAGCCGCCTGCAGCAGGCCCTGGATGGGCGTTAACTCTGGAGCAGAGTGACGGCCCAGCCCGGAGCTGAGCCCAACAGCAAGCAAGGCAGCTGCAAGCAGCTTCAGGCAACAGAAACTCCAAGCACAGAGAAAGAGGATGGAAAAAGAAGAAGTTAGGGCAGCGGCGTTTTCATTTCATCTTTTTTTCCCCCCGGTATCATTTTCTCTTTGCTAACGTGCCATGAGGCCAGGACACCGTGCGAAACGCAGGCGCAAAACGAGGTGAAACCAGCCCCGGCAGCCGGGCTGGGGCTGGCGGCGGCCAAGGGCGTTGCCCTGGCCGCCCATCTGCCGTTTCTGCAGAAGGGGACGGGCTGCCGCCCTCGCACGGAGCCTGCGGCCGGCGCCAGCCTGGCTTCCTCCTTGGCTTGCTGCGCTCGCTCTGCTCAGCCACGGGCAGTTTGGGAGTAATTTAGGCAATGCCACGATCGCTGTTAGTTATTTCCATGAGGTGGAATGGGGCGTCAGGCGGGTGCTGAGCGTGCGCCCAGCAGCGACGCTCTCCCCATCGCCCGGGGGCAAACTCAGGGCTGGGAAATGCACCGGAACCCAGGGCCGTGTGGGAGCTTGGAGCAGAAGCGGGAGCCCCAGCTGGTCTCACCTCGGAGCGGCTGGTCGCGGGGCTGGACACAGGGCCGGCGGCGGCGACGGGCGGCTGCTCCGGGCCGGGCGGCAGCGCCAGGCTGAGCCGCTTGAGCTGCACGTTCTCCTGCTCCACCTGCAGCGAGCCGGGGCCGGCGCCGCTCGCGCCCGGGCCGGGACTGCAACCCCGATCCGCCCTGCCAGGTTGTTTTCTCCAACCCAAAGTGCCTCTGTGCACACGAGTTGCAAGCTCCGAAGGTCAAGTGACCGCAATGTCCCTGAGAAACGGGCTGCCAGGCTCGGGAAAGGGGGGTAGAGGCAGCCAGGCATCCCAGCTGCAACTCCTTGGGCAGGAACTGCCAGCAAAACCCATGAGGAGTCACTGCCCTTTGGAAATTTTGCCATGTACAACTAGAATTCCAACTGCAGCCCCGTTTCTGGCTGAAAAATGACAAGTTTCCGCCTGGAAATATTGTGGAAATGTGGCCTCACAAAGTGTCTGAGGAGCAACGCGTGGGGTCTCCCGCCCTGGGGACATCCAGAGCGCTCTGATGCTG